TGACCTATTTAAATAAATTTCATAAATCCTAAAAAGCAATTAAAATTCTATTTGAAGCGGTTAAAAAGTAAAAATACACAATAGGTTCTAAAGATGTAATAAATCAGATATTTAAAAAGTCTTGATGACATTAAAGAACTTCTCAATAAGAAGTTTGGAGAATTTAAAGTTAATCCTTTAAGTTTAGAGCATATGTCTGATAAAGGCAAAGGTCTAAAAGTAGACGACGAGATTAATAAAATATCTGAAAAATATGCTCGCAAACCATACCAAAAGATGTTTTACTATCCAAGACCAACCCCCCAAGATGTTCTAATAGAAGAACAAGACAATGACCACTACAACCAAGATTTGACTATTGAGATTAATAATCTCAAAAAAGTAGTCTCAGAGTTAAAGGCTTCTAATGTAGCCTTGGATGAAAGAATTTTTAAATTAGAAAATTCTGACACTGAGATTGATAAAGAATTCAGTACTAATATTACTGAAAAAGAGATTGTTGCAGGTAAATCCGAAGGCGAAGCTGCTAGTAAATTACTAGGAGCCATTGATTATGCTGAGGATGAGTTTTACAAAAACTCTAGTATTTTACAACCCAAAAGTTTTTAATAAAAATAACTCTTTTAATTGATTATAATTTTAGAAGAGAATTTACTGCTTTATTTGATAGTGGAGCATATTTGAATAATAATAATAATAATAATAATAATAATAATAATAATAATAATAATGATGATGATGATGATGATGATAAATGATAACAATAACAACAACAACAACAACAAATGACGGTATTAAACTCAGATAACTTTTCTCATATTCTATAAGGGATCAGTTATATCAAGATTTTGGTATGAAAATAATACCGATTTTAACTAATACTTCCAAAAGTCTTGGAATAATTTTGGACTCCAATAACCAATGATCCATAATATAATCTCTATGTTTGAAGAGAAACATTAGCAGGACCGCAAGTTAACAGGGGTAGCTGGAAGTTAATTTGACATAAAACTAAGAATGGAGAATTTTGGACTCCAATAACCAATTTGGCTATAATTAGAGAAGCATTTCTGGCTTAAAAAATAGAAGGTTGTCTTTTTTGCAATTTTATATATTTAATGGGTTGGTCACTTATCAAACCTGCTTCCTACCATCCCAACACATGCTAAATTTGAGGAAGCAGCAGAGGACAAATCCAGCACCTAAATTTGCCTCATACCAAATTTTCTATGTCTCTTTCCTTCTTGGATTGTTCTTGGGTACGATTCATTATTGGTGGATCAAACTCGTTTGGTACGAGGGATAAGGGATAATTAATCGCAGGATTAAATTTGAGATGGGTTTATCCACGTTTGGTTGCGATAAAATCGTGGTATAATTAATCTCGGGATTAGCTATTCCGGAATTGTAGTATTTTTTTTATCCCTATGGGAAAATGGAATAATTAATCATCGGATCACTTGTTTCCCAATCAAACAACCCCTAAGTTGGTAGTTGATGTTGTAGGGCATTACGCCATGGATTTGTCTGATTTTCACGCCTTTCAAAATGCGCGCAATCGCTGATGAAAAGCCAACAACTTTTTAGAAGTCAGTTTTAACTTGCCCCTTTCCTTTTATTAGTCAGAAAGGTTTTTCAACCTATAGAAGGGGTTGCTTGCTGCTCGCCCCTATCACTAAACAACGAAGCTCGGAGTGGGAGGAGGGACTTGAACACTGCATTTTATCGCTACCAAGCTTCCAACAGTGAGACCACCACCACTTATAAACTCTTTAATGGATTTTCCTTTTTCAACTATTAGATCGTCTTTTCTTAAGATTTTATACTAGTACTCAAGTGATACGTGAAATGAAAAGAAATTTTTCTCAACATAATTTAATTGATGAGGATTTATTAGTTTAGGTTGAGTAATTGTACATAACTAGGACCTAAAGTTCATTTGTTATTACATGTTTACTTTATATTTTCTTCTCATATTGTAACATCTTCATTGCTCATTATTCCTCGAATACAATAAGAGTTGACACCTGACAAATCTTTCACTCGATTTCCTCTTATTAAGACCATCAAATGTTCCTTTGAAGTATGAATTATGACTTTCGTATGAAATGTGCGCAAATATATCATGTTGATTGCTCAACTGTATCGTCTTATGTGGAACTAAATTAGTTTTTTTTATGTTTTCGTTGAAATATGGGGACACACTCCTTGCTTCTGGGGACATAGATCCATAGCTCGAGTATGGTCCGCGTACCATTTTTCTTCTCTATCATCGTTCTTTCCATAATACTTCCTCCAATTTTTGCTCTATCACTAGTAGTTGCTCCCGATTCGAAGCACCCTTTTTCTGGATTAATAACCACTTGCACAACTTTTAATAGAGGATACTATTTGTCTATACCAACTTACTAGAAGCAAAGTAGGAATATGTTTCATATTTTGATCCTTTAATAAAAATTCTGACTCCACCACTGACTGTTACTATTGTCATAGTTTTGGCTCTTTTCACTTGCTTTTTTCATGTTTTGGCTTCAAAAGATGAGGCAAAATCACACTGAAAATGTAAATCAGACATTAAATAAAACGAAATATATAAAGGTTTCTTTTTCTTTTCACTAAACGAATTCAACTTTCTTTTTCTTTCTTCACTTAACACTAATAAAGAATATTCCATAAAGAAACTATGTGCTATGCATCTTTTGCGTAGTACACATGGGCCTATGGCTCCTTTATTTGTCTTCAATATGTTTGGTATAAGCATACATATATAACCTAAATGAAAATATTGGATATAAGCATAAATAATTGTTAGTAGACTGTGTTAAAAAAATTCTGCAAAAATTAAAATAGAAACAGAAGTAGAAAAATTCCGAGCCCAATAATAAATTATGTTTCCTTAAGCAATTTAATTCTCTCATTGTTGCCCAAAGTTGTTGGATTAACTCCTCTTAGGATAATGAAAATTACAGAATTTCGGCGAACTCAACAAACGGCAGCAAATCACACTGACATTACGTTTTTGCTTTGAAAAGATTATGCAATATGCAGAAGAGAGAGAGGAGAGTTCTTTCAGATTTTTCGGTGGTGTAAAAATAAGGCAAAACCATTGAATTTATAGCCAAACAGTCTAAGTTGAAGATGTGGTACCTGTTTACATATGGTAGTGACATTTCGACAGGAAAGGAATATTAAATAACAAAAAAGGAAATAAATTTGGTCCAGAAAATATATCAATCAATCCAAGCCCAAGCCCAAGCCGAGCGACGATGATGGTTTAAGGCTTGCTCTCTTCTCAACTCTTTAAGAGCTAGAAGAAGTGCTTTTATATATAAGCACAAGAATTTCCTCTTCCTATCCAATGAAGGACAAGTTCCTTCGTAAATGGAACCAATTCAAATTTTCATTTCTCTCCATTTTTTAATCACGCCGTTCATAAAAACCCAACAATACCTAACATCTCTTGTCATTACACTAATTTATTCATTGTCACTTCTTCAAGTGTTGATTACAAATTTACGAAAATTCTATATACGCCACTGCCCATCTCAGGAGGAAATGAAGTTATGTGACATAAGTTACCTTGTGGGAGCGGTAATAGGAAAATATGATTTATTAACTAATATATACTCCTATATACTAATTAGCATGTTGTTGGAACCGACCAAGAGCACTAAACAAGTCTCACTAATAGGGCAAATATCACTTTTAGCCCATGTCTGAAACTATTTAGATACGGTAGCTGCAAAAGTGTATAAAATTTGGCGTAAAGAAAATTTCTGATTCACCGCTTGGACCTAAAAACAACGGGCAGCAGATTCGACGAGCTCAACTTCCACTGAAAAGAGAGGCTAAGCGCTCTCCCCAGCTTAGTGCATGGAAGGGCGAGGGCTGGTTCTGACGAGTGCCATCTCTTTCGATTTGCTCGGAGCTTCTTTTTTTTTTACTTGGTCGCCTGCTATCTTGAAATCATTTATATAAGCAGAAGCATTCAAGAATCACTTGTATGTTTTTTTTTTTTGTGTATATATATATATATATATATATATATATATATATTGGTAATTAAAGAACTTTCATTTCTCAAAGAATATTTACAACGTGCATTCGAGCTTAATCTGGACATAAGCCCCAGATTTTAGCTTTCATTTCTCTGGCCTCAGTTCTAACTACTAACTACAAGAATATTTCATTGCACATTAGGATAGTAGTTAAGCTCCATCAATCTTCTTTATAGCCGCTGTTTATTAGTTCCTTGCCCATGCACGTCTTGCGTTATTGCTTTGCCTAGTATTACTTCTGATCGCTGTTCTCCTTTGAAAATTCTTCCATTTCTCTCTTGCCATATGTAGTACAAAGTTCCTGCTAGGATGAGTTTATACAACTCAGCTGTTGTGCTCCTCCCCTTATAGTATTTTCCTGCCCATTCAATTTCATTTGCCCACGTCATTGTTTGCATCTGAATCCCTTGCCATTGCAGCATTGCTGTCCATACTCTTGAGGAATAAGGACATTTAAAGAACAAGTGATCAATGGTTTCCTCCTTAGTGTTACATAAAGAACATGTTACATCTTCCATATAACCCCAGCCCTCAATCTGTCTTTAGTCAGCAGCCTTCGATGTGCAGCTAGGAATACTGTAAAGTTCCATTTTGGTAGTCCAGCATTGTTCTGCACCAGTTTCCTCCATGGTACTCTAGCAAAGTCTCCTCGAAGTTTCATATACATAGTCTTAATAGAAAAGCTTCTTATCCCCTCTACATCCTCCTCTGTATACCCTGCTTCCCTCAAAATATTGTTTGGCTTTAAAAATCTTCTGTACCATCCAAGAAGCTTGTTTTGGTACAATGCTCCACAATGAATTCTGCTTCTTATAATACACATGTATCCATTGTACCCACGTCTTATCCTTTTTCTTGCATAGGTTCCATAGGCATTTACATATAGCTGCCTTATTCCATGCCTCTATATCAAGTAAATTTAAGCCGCCTGCTGCTTTTGGTTTACACAAGCTGTCCCATGACAGTAGAGCTCTCCTTGATACTTCTACACCCCCTGTCCATAGGAATGTTCGACACTCTTTCAATGAGTTGGATCAGTTTCTTTGGCAGCACAAACACCTGAGACCAGAATACTTGAATAGAGAATAGCATACTCTTGATTAGCTGAATTCTTCCTGCATAGGACAGGAACTTTGATGTCCATGATTGGATTCTCCCTAGCATCTTTTCAAGCAGAGGCTGACACTGCACCAATGACAACCTCTTAGAGCTAAGAGGTACTCCCAAGTACCTAACTGGTAATGTTCCTTTGACAAAGCCTAGAGCTTGTAAGATCTCCTGTTGTTGATCATCATTCACTCCACCAAAGAATATGGAGTTTATATCAGCATTTGCCACTAACCCTGAAGCCTTTGACAACTGTTGAAAATACTGAAATAGTAGCTGAACAGATATAGCATCACCTCGACAGAACAGTAATAAGTCATCAGCAAAACTCAATTGCACTATGTTCATTTTGCCACATTTAGGATGGTAGTTGAAGTTAGGGCCCCTCTTGAGTGTATTCAATAATCTTGTCAGATATTCCATAACCAATACAAATAGGTAAGGAGATAGGGGATCTCCCTGTCTCAATCCTTTCTTAGCTTGAAATGGCCTTGTAGGTTGCCTATTAATTATAATGGAATATGAGACTGTTGTTACACAGCTCATAATCCATTGCACAAATCTCCCTGGCAGCTGCAGATATGTCATGTTCTAGATAACCCCATTCAACTAAGTCATAAGCCTTCTTCATATCTATTTTCATCATGCATCTAGGAGAAACATCTTTCCTGCCATATCCTTTAACTAACTCATGATTAAGTATTATGTTGTCATTTATCAGTCTACCAGGAACAAAAGCAGACTGACTTTTATCCACCAGCCCATCCATCACTCCTTGTAATCTATTAGTTAGAATCTTTGATATAATCTTGTAAAGTATTGTGCAACATAATATTGGCCTGTACTCAGTAATTTTAGAAGTATTTTTCACCTTAGGAACAAGAGTTACTGTTGTACAATTTATACGCTGATACATATTTGAACTTGAGAAGAACTCCATAACTGCATCTGTAATTGTGTCTCCTACTACAGGCCAAGACTTCTTGAAAAATAAAGCATTGAAACCATCACACCCAGGAGCTTTGTTGTCACTAATGCCTTTTAGAGCATGATAAATCTCCTCCTTTGATACCTCTGCCATCAGTTGCAGTTGTTGCATTCTATTCACCATAGGACCATCTCTCATGACAGCTGGGCTAATAGCAGGCAACTCATTTGCTGATGAGCCTAATAGTTGTTGATAGAACCCTGTCACCTCCTCCTCAATGTCCTGCCTTGTTTGCACTGTATTTCCATTACATTTTATTAATTTGCTAATCTTGTTCTGGCTGCATCTGTTTTTCATACTTGCAAAGAAATATGCTGTATTGGCATCACCTAGCTTTAGCCATTTTACTCTTGACTTCTGCCTCATAATGCTTTCCTCCGCCCCTAACCATTTCTCCAGCTGCATTTTCATTTCTTTCTCATCAGCTACTAAGGCCTCATCTTGACCAGGGTCCCTCATTTGTTCTTGCAAATCGGTTAATCTTTGTCTACACACCTTGATCCGATCACCAACAGCATTATACTCATTGTTGTTTAACACCTTCATAGCATGTTTTACACTTTTTAGTTTCTGCCAAATACTCCTCATACTGTTTTGCTCCTGTGGCCCCTCCCATGCTTCATTAACAAGCTTTATAAAATCATCATGTTCAGCTAGATGATTTAGGAATTTAAATGGCTTAGGACTACAGTCTTCATTCTCCTCCAGTGCTATACTCAGTGGTGAATGGTCAAAGCAATGTGGATCCATAATCCATAACTCTAAATGCGGCATGGACAGCATCCATTCAGCATTAATCAAAGCTCTATCAATCTTACTATAAGTGTGACCATTTGTCCATTAAAACTCCTTCCACTAGTCCTCATTTCTGCCAATCCAGTACTTTCAATAAACTCATTGAAGTCTCTGATCTCTAGTTCTTGTACCGGATTACCAACTGGTCTATCTTCCCCTGGTCTAATAGCATTATAATCCCCCATTATCAACCATGGCCCTTGTTGTATGGAGTGTAATCTTGTCAGTTCTCCCCACAGACTTCTTCTATCTTCCACACTATGCATGCCATATACAGCTGTAAAAGTGAACCTCATATCCAACCTCCTAATATAAACTGAGGTGTGTATAATTTGAGCAGTTCTACACACCTCTATGCATTCTATTTTACTTGAGTCCCATAGCAACCATATTCTTCCTCTACTACTACATTCATAGTTGTCTAAGCATGCCCATCCTGGTGTAATTTTCCTTATAACTTGTATAGCCTTCTGCTTTTTTATTTTATGCTCTAATAATGCAATCATGTGTACTTTATTACTATGAATGAACCACTTCACCTCTTTTTGTCTAGGGGCTTTATTTAAACCCCTTATGTTCCGAGTTACTAGCTTCATACAGGTATGAAGAGGGACTGCATAGTCCCTTCCTGCCCAGTATTACCTTGTTGTCTACTTGTTCCTTCCTCCATTTGTCTTGGCATGGCTAACTGCAGTCTAGATTCTGTGAGAAGGTTAAACCCATTATGCACATTAACTACATCAACTGGTTGTCTCTCTCTGTTTCTAGCTGCTGACTTTCCTATAACAGTCTACCACCTTTGCTATTTATTTCCTGTTATAGCTCCTGCATCAGCACTAGCAACTAATGTACTAGAGCTAGCATTCCCTTCATTTCTATGCTCTATCAACTTCGATTGCTCCTTAACAATTATTTCCTGCACTTTGGGTGCAGGCTTAGGTTGCCATTCCTGCTTCTGTTTTGCATTCTTAGCCTTCAATTTTGGTCCTAGCTGTTCATCAACTCTACATTTGTGGCCAACTTGCATACATTTAGTACAGAACTTAGGGACCCAGTCATATGCTATTTCTTGGATAAACTCCCTTCCATTAGGATCAGTCACCTTGATGGACCTAGGCAACTCTTTAGTAACATCCATTTCTACCAATACCCTTGCATATGAAATCCTATCCACTTGAGTGGTACAAGCATCAGCATATAGAGGAATTCCCAAACCACTACTTATCCTGCTTAGTGACCTATTTCCCCAGCAATTCAAAGGTAGATTAGGATATTTAACCCACACTGGTATAGTTTGGAGTACCTCTTTGTTGAAATCAAAGTCAGCAGACCACATTTTGCAATGATAGGCTTGTTATTCAACATGTGAGGTCCTGAATATAGTACTTCATCCCTATCTTCAATAGAATTGAAACGAACCACAAAATAGCCATCATTGTGAAAATACACCTTAGGCTTAGCTACAAAGTTCCATACTGAAGCAATGTACCTTTCCATGGCACCTATTGTTGGACTTCCTCCAGCAACATACAAAATTAGCACTTGTTTTCACTTCTGAGTCTCCTTCTCAATTTCTTCCTTGCATAGCTCCACAATCACCTCGCCATTTTGATAGTTGGTGCAATAAAGCTCAGATCCATACCTTTTGCCGTAAAATTCGATCCCACAAATAAATTTGCTCACTGCTTCTGCCCTTTATCAACTTCAACAGTAGGTAAAATCACTTGAGGTTGAGTTATCACTGTTGTATTCCCTTTTACTCCCAGTTTGCTAGTAATTGGTGCAGTACTCTTCCCAATTGTCACATTTTTGCTTAAATTTGGGCTTGCATGTATCATCGGACCATCAGCAATTACTTTACCACTATGTTTGCCCTTATCCAGTGGAGTTTTCGTAGCTTCTTCCATGGTTGACAATGGCAGCCACTGTTCCATTGGAATTTCCCCTTGATCTCTTTCCAAATTGCTCTCATTCCTCAGAATTGGATTGCTCGTTCCTGCGTAATCAGTCGCATGTATCGCGGTTGCAATTCTCTTCGGTCGTCCCCTCCCCATGGCTAGTGGCGTACGTTAGCACATGCACCCTAACGTGCGCCGAGAGAAGAGAGAAATATATATATATATATATATATATATATATATATATATATAGTTTTTGGCTGTTACTTGGAGAGCGGAGTGTCATTTTCCCATAATTATTACTTCATTAAATTTTCTCCAGTAAATAAAGATACTTCGTCTATCTTATCTAAAGAGTCAGAATATTGGTATTAATGAAGAGATGGAAGAAAAATGGATGAAGAAAATCAAAATAAGGCCCTACAAATCCATATTTTTTCAAGATTTAAGAATGCATAGCAATAGAGTTGGAAACAGTAGGGTCTAAATTCTATCCCAGTTAGTCAGAAATTTACATATTATTGAAACTTAAGTTTTCATCAACGTGGCCATGCGAACATAAATACATTAGTTCTTGTAGGGAGCGCTTCTCTTATATGACTTTACGTGATATGAATCTGAATACAATAGTTCGCTTATTTTCTCTGTTTGTTGAGCCAAAAGTCTAATTTACCATCAGGGGCGGAGCTAGAAATCTGTATTCGGGTTCGGTTGAACCTAGTAACTTTTGCTCAAACAATATTGCGTTAAAAAGTTCATTAAATATATACAAATATTAAATTTAAAACTCTGTTAGTAGCACTTGAAGTTGTCGTTTTAAAATTTAAAACCCATCAAATTGAAATCCTAGCTCCGCCTTAGCTTACTATGGCCGGCCACAATTTCAAGAATAAATGACATTGGTAATGATCATGATTTTGAACTTGTATTATTAACAAGACATGTGGTTACAAAGAGTATAACGAGAAAATGAAAAAAAAGATAGGATAACAAAAAGAAAGGAAATATAGTTTGCTATCTATAGGAAATCCAATGATCTATCTTTAAACCTATATTTGAGAATCTTGGCAACCCATATACTTCTTTACAAGTAACAAGGTGGGACTTTCTTTCACAAAAAAAAAAAAAAAAAAAAAAAAAAAAAAAAAAAAGGTCATAATGGGTCTATACTACTTTCTCAAATAGGACCAACCTATTATCAGCTAGTCTAGAATTGTATGCTGATTTTTTGTACTCAAACCATGTAAATTCTTTGTACAAGCTGTCTTGATCCCCTTTTATTAGTGAAGCCAAAGGTGCTATCTTTTCACTCAATGGTGGTCCTCCAAAATAAATCATTGAAAGTCTTGATTTCAAACTATTGGCCAAAACCCTATGCTTTACACTCTTAAACCTTCCATTGGTCATCACCTGCAAAATTCACCATCATTAGCAAAATTGTACTCAGTGGCGGAGGCATGATTTCCGCTAAGGAGATTCAAAAACAGGAAAAAGTTAAAAAATTAAAAGAAATTTAAGCTAGTGGGAATTGAACCAGGGACCACACAAAGATTTTGAACCCTTGTGACCACTAAACTATGCTTTTAAGCTATCAAACGGATTCAAAACATAGTATATATATAGAGGTAAAAAAAATAGATTTTACTTTATATATACTGTGTAATTTT